ATCACGCCGTAAATCGACCATGACTGCGGAAATACTCGAGTTCAGAGCCGAAGCCTTTCGGGGACGGGTAAGGGATGGAGGAACAAAGCACACAGAAGAGGGGGACACGGAGCTTGGGAAGGAGAAAGAGGAACGCTGCTGCTTTCCAATCATCAATTTATCGGCAGCCTTTTCGCCATCTCCATTGCTTCCGCCAGAAGCAATCCCACAAACGCGGACACCCGGGATAAAATTGGTTGAGTCCTGGAAAGAAGAGGGACGCGACGAGGTAGAGGAGTCTGACGCGGATACTGACCGCGTGAGTCCAAGTTGTTCGGAGAGGCTCGCTTGGCGCATCAGAGACTCCTTTCCGGGTATCCCGACAGTCTCTCGCTTCGTCTCACGCAGGCTTGTGCCACATTTTGCCGACGTTGCAATTTTGCGGGGGGAACGGACCTCACAGTCGCTAGCCTCCCGAAGGCTTTCACGATCACTGACCGCTCCTGTGCTTCCACTATCTTTTGAGAGCACTGCTTCCTTCCGCGCGAGCAACAGGGACAGCGTCGACGGTCGAGGACCCAGTGGCTTTCCCTCCATCACCTGGGTGACACGTTCCTGCTGTTTGAGCGCGCTTTTGAATTCCAAGAACCTTTGAAGCGCCACTTTCTTCCCTCCAATTCCTGCTTGGCTCGAAGGGAGAAGTTCTTGCTCAATGGCCTCAGGGGCGATGTAGCCAGCATCCACGTCCACTTTCGTCACGTTCACGACAACTGCTCCTCGGTTTCTTGCTCGAAATCCTGCCCCCTTTCTGTTCCTTCCGCTGACTTGAACACTCTCCATCGCATTCCATTTGCCGTCCTCCTCTTCCTCCCACTCTTCGTCAAATTCATCCTCGTCGCCCTCTTTCCCCCCTCGTGTCCCCGACGCCCTTGCCCCCGCCCCAACCCTTCTTCTTGGAACCAACCTCGAGATACCCATCACCCGTACGAAGAATTTCCTGATTCCCTCCATGGCTTCTTCGAAATTTGTCGCCGTGCTCACGTGAGGGCGCACCCATTGACTCAAGGATGCACGCTGGGCGGGCGCAGCAAAGCGTTCGTCCAGGAAAAGGACAATGCCGTAGTCGTTTTGATGACGGATGACCCGACCCACAGCCTGATTGACTGCCCGGGCTGCTTGCTGTTGGTACCATTCCATGCCTCTCAATGGTTGAATGGAAGAAGGGACGGAGGCAGGGGACGAAGCGAGCGAATCCAGGTACATTTTTTTCAATCCTACCCGCGGATCTCGGGCAGGTGGGAAAGGGATCCCTGTGATAACCACGGCGCGGGCACGTTGATCGGCAAAATCCATACCTTCGCTCACCTGCAGGGAAGGAAAAGGAGAAGAAGCGGGAGAGATAGAGGAGTGACCCCGAGCTGAGACGCGGCCAACGTCCGTCATTCCTTTTACCCTAAGGGTGCGCATATTCGTACGCAATACATTACATAACCCCCCTTTTCTACCTTCCCCCGGCAGACAGCAAGCAAGATAGCGCCTCCCTCCTCTTTGATCGCCCCGTCATAGGCCAGGATGCACGCAGGCAGCTCTGCTGCTTTCCGTGGTTCCTCGACAACTGTCTTGACGCGCTGCAGTCGTTCGTAGACCCCTCCTCCAGCCCCCTTCCCTTCCCCTTTTTTCCATTGTCGCAGGCACAGGTCCATTACTCCATAGGAAGGAAAGAATACCAACATACCCCCGGGCACTCCCCGGGCTACTCGGATTAGGCTTTCCCCCAAATCAGCCAGGTAGCCGTCTTCCCCTCTCCGTTGAAAAGATGAGGACAACGTCTCCCCGCGTGGTCCGCGGGACAGGATGGACATGAAGGTTTGCACGGAGGTGTCGATGACATGCTGGTTCTCCAAGCGCACAGGAAAGGGAATCCGGAGCTCGCTGGCAAATGAGTCGAGGGGCGACAGCGTCCCGCTTGTCAAGAGGACAGAGCGGACCGAGAGTTGCAAAAGTTGCTCCAGTGCAATTCCTGGACAGAAACACCAATAATGGAGGACCCGCCTGGGGGGATCCTGAGCCACCGGAGGGAAAGAACTACGCCTCTTTCCTCCGCTGCCTTGCCCTCTTCCCCCTGTTCCCAAGGGCCGTTGCCCGGCTCCTGTCGTGAGACTTAGGGATGGCCCCCCACTCTCGATGTAAAGGCGGTAGGCTTGCATGTTCTTCCGCATGGTCAGCGTGTCCCCCCAGAAATAGATCATTTTGTACGCCTTCAAAAATGCCTCTAGCGCTCCTCCCGTGAATAGTGTCGAGACGATTCCCATTCCCCCCTCGTTTCCCCCCCCTACGATGGCATCGTCCATCAAGAAATTAATCGTACGCTCCAACCGAGACACAACCGCGTGAAAATCCACTGGCTGCAGTCCTCCGAGCCCAGCCCCGTAGAAAAGATCCTGTAGCTTTTGTGGTCCTAACACCGCACTCTTCGCTGGCACATGCGAGCTGGAGAAGGACGGGGGCTTGTACCCGCCGGTTACAGTGAGCTGGATCGCGTCTATGCCTTCTTCTAATGCTCGAAACGCTCGCTTGAGCCACACCAGATCCTCCTTGGTCGGCGCTGGGGTCCCATACGCGGCCCCTCCAGCTTTCCCTCCTCCTTTTTCCCCTCCTTTGGAGACGACTCCCTCGCCCTTCACTTTCACGATCTCCCAGGCCTTTTCAAGCTCCTCCGAGATGCGTGCCGTCATCGTGGTGGACAATGCCAACGACCAGGCCTCTGACGCGACCCCTTCCAGATTGTGGGCTTCGTCAAATATGACCACGGAATTTGTCCAGCGCACTTGGTAAGGTTGCCGAGAGCCTGCGTCTAGCAGGTAATTGTACGGCATGAGCACTAAGTCTGCGTGGAGCGTGTTTTGCCGCATCAGGTAGTAAGGGCACACCTGTACGAAGAAGCGAGTCAGGTTGGGAAAGCAATCGATCGAATGAAAACACTGAATACCTCGGATTCGCTACACACCGTCGCCATAGCCCTCCTTTCCTCTTCTCTTCCCTTACCAGCTTCGTCTGCCCCAGACTTTTCAGTTCCTCTATATCCATCACTCCGGGACTACCACCCCCTACGTGCTCCGCTTGATAAGAGTCCAGATTATTTTTGTACCGACACGCCCTGCTTTGTGTCAACACACCACACCGGCGGTTCTGTAAGCCGCCTTTTAATTTGCTTACTTCCGGATGCACGCAGAGCTGCTCCCTTGATCCCAAAATAACGGTGTGGGGTCGGTAACCTGTAGCTTTCAATTCGCGAATAACTTGTCTCAATTGCGAATGGGTCCTTGACGCATACACGATCACAGGTCTGCCTTGCACACCTTTGACATGATTGTTAATACCCGCGCCACTTGTAGGCGGAAAAGAACGAGGTTTTCCAGCGTCTGTTTCGTACATCAATGTCATGCTACCATTGCTGATGCCCGTGCCACCGTTCCCGCAGCAAGAGCTGGCACCGTCTCGTTCAGGGCTGTAAGTTTGCTGCCAGGCTAGTGTCGAACAAAGAAGTGACAAGGTCTTGCCGGTGCCGGTGGGTGACTCTAGCAAGGCGTTCGTACGATCCTTCAAGGCCGCCACCACTTTTTCCATGTACGTGACTTGGGCCGGATAAGGCTGAAATGGAAAATCCACGTGGACATTCTCCACCTCGATCCGTGGCATGCTAACACCCGGTCCCTGATTATGGAAAAGGCATTTAAAGTGAGAAGTTGAGGCACACCTGGCGAGGCGCAGGCGAGTGGGCGAGACTTATCGCACCCGAGGGATTCGTGCGAAGAGTAACAATGCCTGGATAAAGGCAAAGAGAGGCAGAAAGTTGTGACACAGGGGAAGAGAAAGACCGTGTTGGAAGTTTGCTTCGCCAGGCAAAGATAATATAAGTGTCGGATTCTACGAAAGAGACAGGCTGGCATGTTCCTTTTCTCGACGCCTCAACTCACTCCTCCTCTAATTTCAAACATATTATACTTTCCCTTTTGGTTCGCAGCGTGCGAAAATTTCAATTATCACATGTATCTATATTAATTCACTATCTCTCTCTGGCCATTTCAATAGGTTTCGCCGCGATAGACAATTTCCAGTGCTTCAATCAGCTAACATACTTTACTCGGCTAATTATTCGCGAGGGGACTTGTCTACATGCTAAAAGCAAAAAAAGAGTTTTGGAAGAGCGGTGTGCGTGCTGGACGACCCAAAAATGCAGACGAAAAATTAAGGGAACACAATACGGCTATACGCGGGAAATTTTGTGCCAGGGGCGCTGTTTCGCAAATTGAAGCCCGCGAGTCTCACCAGGACAGAAGAAAAAGAAGCCATAAAACAAAAGGAAGCAGCTCTGATCCTCTTACCTCCATCCACCCTCCGTCATACTCAGCGTCACCTTGCAGTCCTTCTGCACAAACCTCACCGCCGGCTCTGTCCTATTTTTCTTCCCTTTTCCCGCCATTCTTTCCCAGCCATGGCAACAGAGGTAGCATCGCGCATGTCGACACCACAACCACTAGAAGTGGACAAAAATGGGCCCTTGGAATGATACTCCTAACCCTCCTTCCTCGCGTAGCCAGAAAAACTCTCCATAGTATTGCCAGCAGCATCCCGAAAATGCAGCAGCCTTCCGTTCGAGCTTTCCGTGAAGGACCTGCCAAAAGCGTAAACTTCAACTCTATGGGGGCCCGTTGGCGTCGATTCCTGCAGGGGACTAAAGCCAAGGCCGCCATGGCGGCCGCTGTGGCATCGTTTGCACTCGGCGTGTCTTTGAGCCCCCCCGGGACTTTCCAAAGGTATCACACCGTCGGTGAGATCCCGGGAAGAGTGTTTCGGGCACAGACCGTCCTGGTCGGCAAGGTGGTGCGCGTCATGGACGGTGACACCCTCCGTATCAGGCACACCCCTTTATTCCCCCTCCTGAACAACCATCCAGGCTCGGGGCGGCTGTCCGAAGAGACCTTGATCATCCGCTTGGCGGGCATCGACGCGCCTGAACTCGGGAAAGGGAAGAAACAGGGACAAGCGGGCGCCGAGGAAGCCAAGAGTTTCGTGACGAAAAAGGTGCTGGATCAAAGCGTCCGTATTAAACTCCTAGGCCGTGACCAGTACGCGCGTGCCATCGCCTCCGTTGCTTACGGCCCTGTTGCCTCCATCCCTTTCCCGTTGCCGTCGTTTTTAAAGAAAGATCTCTCCACCGACTTGGTAAAAGAAGGATTTGCCGTCATTTATCGACAGAAAGGAGCCCATTACGACGGGAAATTGGGGACGTTGGAAAGGTACGAAGCCTGGGCGAAAGCGAAGAGGAAAGGCGTCTGGCATGGGAGGGATGTGGAGCTTCCGCACCAGTTCAAAGCGCGGATGAAAAAGGCGGCGGCCGAGAAGACCTTGGCTCCCAAGGGAGGGTGAGGCACCAGAGAAAGAAGAAATGAGAACGATGGAAGGCGAAGGGATGCCTGGTGGAGGCTACGTTACATATGAGCCTACATGGCTTCATCGTGGCGATTGGAGATGTCATCAATTGACCCCTTTTTGTGTCATCAATTGACCGCTTTCTGAGCAAAAAAACTGTAAACAAGGATAGCCAATGCCTCCTTGCTTCCCTTTTCTGTGCATGCTTCCTTTGATATACTCTACGCCTCTTAAAGCTATTTAAATTATCTCTCTCATGCCCTAGAGTCTACTTGTTAGCTTCAATCGCAAGTACCTTTCTATTCACATATTTGTACTACCGTCCTAATTCTGCTTCTGCAGTTGCTTGTGTCTGCGCTGCCGTCCAAACTCCTCGATGTTCCTCCTCCGTTTACTACCTTTCCATGACTTTTCCTCGCTTTTCCCCCTTGCACCTCGCCTCTTTCCCCCACTCCTGTAATGAGCAATTTTCATGTTCCTGATTTTTTCAACTTCACCCCGCCTTTTCCTCCCCCTCTTTCGCCTATCGCCCATATTCCTAGTATTGTCCTCTCCTCCCCCTTTTCTTCCTTCTCTTCCCCCGCCTCTCGGATAGCGGGCCTCTGCTTCCTTCTGAAATCTTCCTCTTCCCCCTAGTCAAAGGCGTACTTCCCGTTCCCGGAGGAACACCTCCCTCTCCCCCATCCTCCCACTCTCCCTCCTCTTCCCCGTTGTCCTCCCCTTCTCTCCCGGACCCCCCCGCAAAAGCCCGCGCCTCAGGCACGTAAGGCAAGAAATCGGGCACCACGCCAATATCAACGTATCCTCCCCCTACCGTACCTGGTTTTATGAAACCAGGAGGCTGGCTTTTCCCTTTGCTAAGCCGCCGACTGTCCCCGTCCGTGTCCAGTTCCACCCGTCCGTAGTCCAAGAGGCGATCCAAAGACCACACCCGCAGCGCAAGGGAGGCAGGCGTGGCGTACTTAACAGCATGGGCCCATGATGACATGCAGAGAAGATAGGTGCTCCGGAAAGGGTTGAGACGCCATCGGCTGTCGATGGAATGTTCGAGAAGGATGAGGCATTCCATCAATTCTCGGGCCGTGGCTGCCATCTCGACACGGCGAACCCACTTGTTAAATTCGTCCCTTCGAAGTTTTATGCTTTTTCTGGCTTCGTCAGGGGCGTCCAAAATACATCCCAGGGGCAGCGCCGCTTCCACCGTCAATATTGCTGCCTTGACTTCAATTAAGCTCTCCTCTTCTTCTTCCACGTCCTCCATTCCAGCCATCCTCTCTTCGCTTTCCGAAAAATTCAAGGCTTTTCGCCGGAATTCGTAGCGAAGGCGGGTGGGAAGGAGCTTGGCTTTGCTCCGTTGGCGGTTTCGATTACTGGCTGTCACGTAGGGGAAGGCCCTTAGCTTCTCGACGAACGGCACAGGAGAGACATAACGTGCCCGCGCAATTTCCTGCCGTTTTCCCCACTGCTCTTCATGTTCCTCGGCACGGAGGGCCGTCCATGGTAGGAGGGAAGGCGGCGCATCCCTTTCCATGTCGGGGCTGGACGAAGGAGAGGGAAGGGAAGAGGGACCGGGGACATATGGGATCCATTCATCCGCCTGTGCCCACCCGTCATAGCTGACTCGGACAACGCCCTGGTCGGGGTTGACAAAAATCACGTGCGCCTTCCACAGCACGCCATGTTTTTCGACGAAGACCGCGTCTCCGACCCCCCACAGCGCCTGCGTGGCCCCTGCTGTCTCTTTTCCCGTCTCTTCTTGTCCGACCTCATTTTCGTCTGCTCCGGTCCCAAGATTGTCCGTTTCACCGTCGTCTTCCTCGCTTCGCTTATTTCTCAGAAATTTCCGAACGTCCGGGTATTGTCTCAGGATCGCTTCGCGCAAAGCCCGTTCTTTTTTCCCTCTTGGGTTCAAATACTCTTCCACCACCTTCCCAATGGCCTCGGCACTTTCGTACACGAGCCATTTCTCCACGCTCCCCTCCCGTCCTCCTTCCCCCAAGGCCAGGACCCCGGTATCTACCGAATGGGCGAGGGCTTCGTCATGCTTCTGCCGGATTAAGGCCATCGCGTCCGTGGACCCAGCAATGCCCTCTTCGCTTTGACCCTGCCGATCGTACGGCTGGACGAAAAGGAAGCTCGGTTCTCCCGCAAACTGCCAATAGATACGGCCTCCACGGTCCTGTCCCAATGCGGCCGTTCTCCCTCGCCCCATGAAAGCAACGCTTTCCACGCCTACTTTCCGTCGCAACCGCCGCTCCCGTGCCCCCGCCTCTGCCTTGGCCTCCACCAGCGCGTCCGCACAGCATTCATGCGTGATCAGACTGCCTTTTCGCAAGGTGGGCACCTCCCGCTTCCCGTCCGGTCCCTTGACTTTCTCCCTCCCCTCTGACCCCGCCAACGGCGCCGACGTGAACACCTCCTTGAGTACCCTTTCTGTTTCCAACGCCAGGTTCTCGTCCACCGGCTGCCAGAATACGTAGCGATCCGCGCTCTTTTCCTGCTGCTCCGTTACCAAGCGTTTTTCCAAAGCTTCACGTACTTCCTCGGGCAGGGCATAGTAATCTTCGGCACTCGGTCCATGCACCATAATATTGCAGAGATACTCCTCAGTCTCCCCACACAAGGCACACACCGTCCCTCCTCCTCTCTCGTCCTCGCCTCCCTCCTTCTCCTCCTCTTCCCCCCCTTCCTCTTCCTCCTCCTCTTCCTCTCCCTCCTCCCCTTCCTCTCCTCCCTCCTCTTTCCCTCCTTCCTTCCCCTCCCATTGTCCTTCTTTGCTCAATCTCTCGAGCAACTTCAATCCCTCCTTCCCCAACGCCCTTCGCGTCTCTTCCTTTACGCCCTCTTCAAAACACAAATATTCCCGTGCCCGCAATGGCTGTTTTCCCACCAGCAACAGATCTCCACCCCCCTTCGTAAAGAGGGGCAAGCCCATCAAAATGCCTGGTTCCCGGGGCCTGACAGCCTCTTTCTCCCCTTTTCCTTTCAATGGCTGCCGTTTCCTGCCCCCAGCGCCCGGCCCTGTCTCCTTTTCTTCCTCCTTTTCCCCTATCGTCGGCGTCGCGGTGACTGTGCTGGTCGGCAATGCGGACGGAGGGGAGGAAGTCAGTGACCCGACGTCCACGGGTGTCTCCTCCTTACCCACAGATTTTCGAGACCGCCCCCGTCCCCGGCGTACCACCTCCTCCTCCTCGTCCTCCTCTGCTCCCTCCTCCATTTCCCACTCCTCCCCTTCTCCGCTCTCCGTCTCCTCTCCCTCCCCCTCTTCTGTCTCTTTCCCTTCCAAGAGCTCTTGTTGCCTCTGAGCATATGCCTCGTCGTCTGAAAAGTCCTCCTCCTCTTGCACCACCCGTGCCGTGCCCCCCGCGCCCGGCAAAAAAATCGGAGGCACACCTCTTAACACACCCAGCTCCTCTTCGTCTTCGTCTCCCACCAGCTCCTCCTCCTCCGTTTTCTTAGCGTCCTTTTCTGCATTCTCGACACCAACAACCTCATCTTCCTTCACATTCCCCTCTTTTTCTTCTCCTTCCTCTCTCCCTTCCTCTTTGGGCCCCTTTTGTACCCCCTCCACCAGGACTTCTCCTAACCGCTCCCTCAAGTCCTCCTCCTGTCCTTCCAAGTAGTCTCTCACCCTCACCGTTCCCCCTGCCTGGCCTGCCAACGCCACCAGACAAGCCACCCACTCCCTCGCCCCTTTCCTCCCCCCCTTCCTCCTTCGTCGCCCTCCCACACCAGCGTCCAAGGCCCGGATCCCTTTCAAGAGCTCCACCAGTTCCACGTCCCCCCCATTGATCCAACGGCGGACGACAAGGGAAAGCTCAGGGTCCAATTTCCGAGGAAATCGGCTTTCTCCTTCTAGAAGGTACCCAAGCCCCCAGCGACAGTGACCCAGCGCTTCATACTCACACTTGGCATCGATGGCTGCCGGGCGTTGCAGAAGCAACTGCGCGAGTTCTGGGTTCTGTTGGGGAAGACCCTGAGCACGGAGGAGGGAACAAAGGGCATTTCTGTCCAATTTGTGCTCAAAAAAGGAAGGGGCTGACGAAGAGGAAGAAGGAGATGGATTTCGAAACAACAGGGTGTACACAGCCTTCTCGCGCGTGTAACGGACAGAGGCAACCCGCCCGGCAAACGCTCCCACGCCTGGAAAATGCTTCACGACTCGAAGACGTAGGAAAGGGTCCACGTCTTTGGGCATCCGCTCCCGAATGCAATCCTCGCAGAACCAATATTCTTTCTCCTTCCCTTGTTCGGACACGTTGCGGTTGGGATGCAAGACAGGCATTTTCACGCAGTCCGGATGGAAGGACGCGTCGCACCGGTTGCACTGCTGAGGGGACACCTGCCGCCATTCCTTGATCCCGCCCACCAACGTAACTTCCACAGACTGCGGGTACGGGTCTCGACAAACCTTGCAAGTGGTGTCCAACCCCAGTTCCTCCAGGGGGGGGGCATCCACGTCCAGGACCCACTGCAAAAGAAGCCGGTCAAAACGAGCCACCAACCGATCCGCATCGTGCAGAATCACGTCGTTTTCGGGATTGAAGAGGGCACAATTGATGAATACCCGCCGAACGTCCGCGGCGAATCGCCCCACCGAGTCATCGTATTGCCCATTTCGCAAGTTCCGTGTCACATCCATCAGACCCAACGGACGCGCTACCACCTCCCCGTAACCCTCCACGTGCGGTTGATACTTAAACAAGCTTCCTCCTTTAGCCTGCATCAGAGCTTGTAGGATAGCGTAGCATCGTCGGATGATCTCGGCTTTGGCCTCAAAATCCTCGGGCGTTATGTCCCTGTAGGCATCGATGTCCTCCTCGTCCTCCTCCTCTTCCTCCTCCTCCTCGTCTTCTTCGTCTTCCTCTTCCTCTTCCTCTCCACCTTTCGTCAATATCCCCATACCATCCTCTTCCTCTTTTCCTTCCACGGTCTCACATTCTTCCCTTTCTGCCCCGAGCCCTAACGAAGACCGCCGGCGTTTCCTTTTCTCTTTCTTCCCTCCCCTGCTTCCTCCCTCTTTTTCCGCCGAGGACCTTCGGGACTCGCTGTCCAAAGAATCAGTCTCAAAACTCGCGGTGGAACACGCCAGAGAGACGCCATTATTCCCCCCCCCTTCTGTACCTCCCAGGGAGGGCGAGGCAGGGAGGGACGGCACGGTGGACGACGCAAGTTGCGGGAGTCCGTCGCCTGTGGTCGATGTCACGGAGGGGGCACTCATAGACGCGATCGATTCGCTAGTCATAGCCCTGTTCAAAGAAGAGGGAATTGCAGGGGTGCCAGATACCTTCTGCAATTCTTCTCCATCCTGCTTGATTTCCCCTTCTCCTGCTCCGCCACCCACGCCTGATCTACTGTCTCCTACTCTTATCTTTCCTCCCGCTCCCTCCACGCTGGAGGGTGACTGCCAGTGCTCCTGCATGTCCTTTTCCGCCTCCTCCTCTTCTTCCTCCTCCTGCTGCGGTGCTTGCGGCGGCCGTTGCTCTCCTCCCCGCTGCATGGAACCAGCGATGGGGTCGGTCTCCAACTCTTTCCAGATACCGCCCTCGCCCAAATTACTTTGGTACATATCCAACGCGGTCATGGCCTTCTCCACCGCTTGCTTGATCGCCTCCAGCCACCCTTTCTTGTTTTGATTCTCTCCTTCCTCCCGAAACGGGGCTAGGATCCTGGAGGCCTCCTGTACGGCCGTTAACACCCCCACCCCCACCTCTCCTTCCCTCCTTTCCACCGCCGAAAGCGCCCGCCCCACATGTTCGTCCACCCAGGGTCCCCATCGTCCTTCGTCCTTCGTGCCTCGTCCGGACGACACCGAA